TGGATGATATTTAAGTCCAATTGTGTCTAAGAGCATTCATGGAAGAACTTGAGTAGGAGTACAAATCCTTGCCCCTTCAGTTAGAAGAGGCTATGATCACCCTAATAGCCTGGGCTTCTAGAAGTGTAACTTTGAGGGGGACACAACAGTTAAAGAAGTGACAGGATAATATGAGTGGTATCCCCACTTGGCCTCATGACCAAGACTGTCCTGTCATAGATTTTTTTTAAGCAAGGAACTTGTCATCTATCTCAAAAACCCCAAAGCTAACCTTAATTTCACTAATACAGGTTAAGCCAAAGGTAAAGAACTTAAGGCTAGAACTGAAGTCTCAGATAATAGCTAGGAGTAAGAAGGAAGAAAAGGAGAAATGGGTTCACGTAAGATTGGCTAAAATAAAAAAAGATGAATGACCAGTTCCTGTCCCACAGGTTTCAAAATAAAAATGAGTTTGCAAATAGTCTGCTTTTTAGACCTCTTCACTGTATTCCTGGCACCACCCTTAAGGGGCTATTTTTAGCAATAGGAAAATGGGGAGCAGAGAAGGGCTCACTGTGGCCCTGCCTTACCTCACGTGCATGCCCTGCTGGGACTCCAGCTATCTTTAATTAATGTCTGAGAGACATAAGACCCACCCTACACATGGTGAAAGGAAGCACGATGGTGAAATTCTACCCTACAAGACAGATAGGCTCACTGCTGGTGTACCATTCCTGAGGTCCCGGGGCTATTTTTTGTTGAAAAGAAGGCTCCATCTGGAACGTTTACAGAGAGCAGTGAAGTAGAGTCTGCAGAATTAATTTAAGAGTACAGAAAACAGGACTGCCTGTTTATTTATCTAGTTCTGATTCCCGAATTCCCACAGATTAGATTTTACCAGTAAATCATGTTCATATGATTTTATACCTTTTCTCTGGGAAAAAAAAATTACCTTTAAGTGACTCCCTCTAACTACCTACTTCATATTCATAAACAAGATGAAACCACCATTTCTCATCATTCAATGTTTACAGTTTTTCCCTTTCACAATATTCCCCAAGAGATCCGTCTAAACCATAATGACCCACTGCCATCCAGATACAGCCTTATTAAACATTTGGGATTAAATATATCTTTGGAAGTAAAAATGAATATGCTAAGAAACCAATAGTGAATACATTTTATGTACTACCACAAAGTCCTTAACATCAGTATTATAAATGCAGACTTTAGGCAGAGAAGATAAAGAAAATAAAAAGCTACCATTTAAGAAAAGAAAATCCAGACCACAGGGTTACAAAGTTCAGTGACACACACAATCTTACTGCCTAGTTAGGGATCAATGGTTGCCTTTCAACAAAGAATTGAAGGAATTCCTGTTAAAACAAAGCAAAATGTGAATGAAATTCAGATTCTGAACTTCCATCTACTGTACCTACAGCATTAGATACTGCAGCCTACAGCAAACTGCTTTCTTCCTTCCTACACTCAACTCCATTAGCCTAAATAAACTTGTTTATCTAAGATTCCATTAGTTGATGAAAAAATTAGAATTCTAGATGACATGTCTTTAGAATGTACTCTTTAGGTTAAAGGAACCATATGGCTCTTTCACTGTTGCAAAAAGCACTGAAACTAAAACTACTATTAAGTTTAAGCAAAGGGTTTCAGTACCAAATATAGTCAAGAATGCCAGTCCATTACATGTAAGAGTATAGGAGCTTTCCATCCTCATTCTAGAGTGGGAGCCACACTGGCCTCAGATATCCATCCTGAGACTTGCTGTATTTCTGAATGGGACAGGAAGGCAGGCTAACAAAGAATGTCCTCATACCTATAGAAATAGTACTCATGGGTTAATGCACGGTAATTCTATAGAGGGATCTGTTTCCCTTTCCAGTTATTATTACTTAAGCCTATATGCCAAGAGCCTTTTAAGTGAAAAGTACAGGATCTGGAGAGTATGTGAAAAGATAATCAACTTACTATAAGAAACCTATGACAGGATTGCACAACACTGTCCAACAGACTCATGAGCAGTGATAGAAACATTCTGTACCTGTGGTCCAATATGGTAGCCATGAGCTATAAGGCACATGAAGTAAAAGCTAGTGTGACTGAGAAAGTAAACTTAATTTTATTTTAGTTATCTTAGGTTTAAATGGTCACATGGGATTCACAGATCCAGCATTGAACAGCACATCTATGGGACCTGAAAAGCTGACTTTCCCAGCATTCTTTTGCATAGGAAAAACCTCAGTGGAACCTAATGTTCCTTCCCCACTCCTGTAACAATTAAGGAGGGAAAAGACCCTAATTACCTTCTCTTCTTAGCCCCTTAGCAATTAAAAGCACTTCCTAGTCATTTTCTACTTCATCTGTATGTGGACTTCCAAACACATGATTCTAGCAATGTAAAATGTAGTAGTAAAAATGCTTTCTTCAAGGGTAAGCACTTAACAGGTGCAACTGTTTCGAATTTTAACATTTCTTCCTAAGTCAAAATACAAACTTTAGAGCAAATGTTTACAAAAAAAGATTGCTTACAATGTTTAAAAATTTTAATTTAAATATTTAATTTAAATTAAATAATTATTTGTGTTGGTTCTCTTCTCAAAAGTCACAGTAACACCTTTGGTATGATTAAGTTTTGAGATCCTGGAGGAAAAAACAACTGTAAACCAAATCTCTGAGTGCTCAGACTAAAACATTCACTCCATCAGCAACTATGGAAAGGGTGAGCTCAAGCTGCTCTTTACAACCAGATATTCTGAGGATCCTGGACAAGATCTAAAATCTCTAGCCTGACAGATGATATTCACCTCATCTGTATTCCTAAAACTCACCAACACCAGCATCCTCAATAAACACTGTAAGCAAAATGCTTTTAGCTTTGTGCATTGTACACTGTAGCTTTAAATGGCAGTACATTCGAAAGGCATGTCATCTAGGGACACAGAGGCCCTGTACATTACACACAAGGCTACCGCAGAAACAAACTATATTGAATATAACTGTGCTCTTTCTGAGGTTCCTCAAGATTAAATTTAATTCCCCTAGATCTGTTCAGACAACATAAACTTCCTTTGAATAAAGGAAGCTTTCAAATTCCAAGTAATAGATAATTTTAGTTCTAGGAGAAAAATAAACTAAATGTGTTTCAACAAACTAAGTAGACTATTGTTAAAAACTCCAAACAGACCTAAGAACAAACACTATACCTTTTCTGATAAATGGACTTAATACCAGAGCACTTGACAAGCTGCATGCCTGGGCTGGCTGGCTGACAGTAAAGCCAGTGCAGGAACTGATGCCACCAAGCAGTAGCCAGTCATCTGTGTTGAGCTGCAGGCGTCTGGCCCGGGCATCACTGTTTGAACTATTCACCAACAATTTGTTTACATTGTAATACATAAAAAGACAGCCAGCACAGGTCCAGACTGCTGTAACACTAATGGATTTAAATGTAAGGTTCTACACTAATAGCTCAAAAAGTCAGTTCCATCAACACCAACCACAAAGTCATGAATTCATAGCAACTATACAAAAAAAATTTTTTTAAGGTGCAGGAAATGTAGATGCAGGTTTAATTTGGGCAGACAGTCCATATTGCTTAAAACACTAATTCATCTCTGAATGAATTTAAATTGCCACAAAAGTTAATATTCTCTACTCAAATTAGTGATGCAGATTTTTCAGGGTACTGCATTTTAGCCAAGGCAAGCTCAAGTTCAAGAATCTGCAGGACCTCCTCCTTCTTTAGTGAATCAGAAAACTACTCATGCCTGGAAGGGGGAGAAAGCTCAACTGCTGCTCCAAATATCTCAAGGACTGCATGTTGGTGAGGAACAGACTTATTTTGTGTAATTCCAGAGAGTGAATAGACAGATCAATTTGGCTCAATACAAGGAAGAATATGTCAAAGCCCAGGTTTATTCAAAATTGGACCGTCTAGCTGGAAAGCAGTGAGCACCTCATTACTGAGTGCCAGACTGTTGACCCAAGAAGACTTGAATCACAGCAAGAATTTATGTTAGGGTGAATCCTTCTTCCCATCTTCCCCTACACTAGTCAGATGTTAGGTCTCCCTAACTCCTAACTTCAACACTGCCAGCTTATTTAAGGCATCTTATCAAAACACAAAATGTGTAAATATTATGATTAACATAATAGCTCTAATTTGTTTATAAGAAAATAATCTACAAAATTTAGTTTAAAGAAAAGTTAGGGACACTAACAACTAATAAAACAATCTCTGACAGGCAACTAACTTACTAGGGATCCAGAAGCACTGCTCTCAGACACAATTCTCGGGTTTCACACATTCTATGTATTTTCCTTACATCATTTTCCTGCATGATAATCTTAATTTCATTTGAGTCATATATCCTCTAAATCAGAATGACTGAGCTAATTAGAAGAGCTTCATTATGTAACTTCCTGAAACTACAATCTTTTACTATATCTAGAAAGGTTGCAAGAAAGAAGACTGCAGGAAGTTCTTGATTATAACCAGTTAGTACCTCTGAGAATTAAACCCAATTTCTTCTACCAATGTGGAGTTGTTCAGGGGCAAGGTGAAAATGGGACTTACCTTTATGTGCTGATCTCTATTCTTGCCCATATTTCCACGATTTTTGAAATCCATTACTAAGTGACAGTCCTGTTCATAGGAGGGCTAACATGCTTTAGGTCCACTTTTAATTTTACCCCGGACACAAGGTCACAGAGCCAGAAGCTCATTACCCAACTATCCAAACTCTAAAATGAGAGGGCGACTTAAAGGTACTCTTAGAACCTTTTCTGAAGCGTAGCCACTCCTTGATTGAAAATACATGAAGGAAGGCGCCACTTGCCCACCACCCACCAGGCATTCCAGGAAAACTCCTAGCTGCCCACAGCCCTGCTCCACTCCGACCTGTAGAATATTAGTCAGGAAAAGATAACGGTATCTGTCAAAGCCATCCCTTTCAACCTGAACAAAACATTCCATATCCTCTGCTGGAAAGGCCAGGCTTTACCTTTCTGAACGTGGATGATGTCCGGGAAGTTGGCCAGATGCCCCTGATAGAGCGCTAACAGGTCCATGACGGGGTCCAGGTCCTGCCTGGGTTGCTCTGCAAAGAGCTCGCCGATGGCGTCGTAGGCATCTCCGGTGAAGGCGATGGCCTGGTTCAGGCCGGCTGAGAAGGCCTGCTGGTCCAGCTCAAAAGCCTGGCTGAGGCCGCGGAAGGACTGGCCCACCTTCTGATACTCCTTCTTGAAGCCGGTCACCTGCTTGCGCGCGAACTCATTGGCGGTGTGGTTGAGTTGCAGTGCGCTGTCGTCCATCTTCTTGGTGAAGCACTTGAAGCCATCGATCTTGCTCTCCACCTCCTGAAGATCAAGGGCAGCGGCGGGAGGCGTGCTGAGCGTCAGAAAGAAATTGGCACCTACCATCTCGTCCTTCTCAGCCTTCCTCTTGCCCTGTTTCCAGGCCTTCTCGTCGGTGCTGCTGGGGCAAGTCAGGAAGTGCTGGAAGACATCGCACTGCGCCAGCACCGGGTGGCTGGCCATGTGGTTCATCCACCAGATCAGGCCCTTCCTTCGCTTGGAGATGAAGTCCTCTTCAAAGCGGCCGGTCGCCTGCTTCTCAGGCAGGTGGGGCACCGAGATGACTGGGAACTTCTCCGCCAAGCGCGCGTACAGCCAGTCGAAATGCTTGTAGCGCCGGTGCACCGGTACCTGCGTATGCGTGGGCACCAGCTTGTAGGAGATATAGCTCTTCATCCCCTTGAACTTGGTCTGCTTGGTGGGGTCATCGATAGTGCACTGGAAGGGGTAAGGGTTCTCCTGCCACTCAGGGCCATACGGCCCCAGCACCACGCACAGCTTGTCCCCGTCCTTCACGAAGCCAGACGCCTCGCCAAGCACGAAGGCCTCCCCGCCGGACTTGACGAAGGTGGAGAAGCGGTTGAGGTTGCGGCTCACCGTCGCCGAGCTCTTGGCCCCCGACGGGTGATGCTGCGGGGGCGCGGAGCCGCCGCGGGAGCCCAGCGACAGGTCCGAACGCGTGGACAGGCGATAGCGACTGGCGGCGCCGCCCCCCGACGACGAGCCATCGAGATCCGGGTACGCGCCGCTGCCCAGCGCGCCAGGCTCGTCCGCTACCGTGGAGCTGTCGTCCCACTCGTCATCCCAGTCGTCGTCGCTGCCCTGGCTGGCCTGGTAACCGCCGCCGTAGAGCTGCTGCGGCGACGGCTGCAGGGCGCCCCCGCCGTACGGGTAGCCCGAGCCCAGCGGCTGGAAGGTGCTGGGCAGCGGTGCCGCTTGAGGCTGCAGCAGCTGCTGGAAGGTGTCGGGCGGCGGCTTGAAGGAGGCGGGCGGCGCGGCGGGCACCGGCTCGAAGCCGCCGGGCGGTACGTTGGCGTAGCGAGCCGGGACGCCCGGCCCGGTGTCGCCCGGCGGGCCGGGCTCCGGGGCGCGGATCACCTGCACGTACGAGGCCGGGAAGAGGCCGCGGTCCCCGCGGCTGTTGACCCCTTCGAGCCAGCCCTCGATGTCCTGCTCGCTGCACAGGCTCAGCACCTCGTGCTCCCGCAACGAGATCTCGCCCGGGTTCTCCGACCTGAAGTCGTACAGCGCCCGGGCGCGCAGCGCC